TCATGCCAACCATGCTTCTACTACTATTGCTATTGCTTAGCGATAAAGTAAAGCATTACATAGCGCTTAATGATTGACATGCAGGTCATACAATAATTAAAGGCAACTGTACGGCTCCTCCAGTTGCCGTATGCATTGACATGCAAGTCGATATAAACTATTACAACCATGATCATCTCATACATCAGATATATTTTATCATGTCTTTGGCCATATCATATCACAATATACACTGCAAAAACAAGTTAGACGTCCTCTAATTGTCGTTGCATGTTTTACGTGGCTAGTATGGGTATCTAGCAAGAATGATTCTTACCTACGCAAAGCCACAATGGTGATATGCAAGTTGCTATTTAACCTTCTACAAGGAGCGTCTTTGTCAAATCCGATTCTACTAAGGTGGGAGAGACAGACACCCGGTAGCCATCTTTATGCAACAAAATCACATGTCTGTCAATGGAACCGATCTCATGTACGTGGACATGTAAAGTTGGTCCGGACCACTTCATCCCACAATACCGCTGAATCGAGAGAAGACCAAGGAAGGAAGCAATCTGAATATCAATGGACACAAACTTCTTTGTGTTCTACTCATGATGTCATCTACGCATAGACCTAGCTCATGATGCCACTGTTGGGGAATGTTGCATGGGAAACCAAAATTTTCGTGCGCTCTACAAAATCCAATCTAGGAGATGACCATCTATGAGAGGAGAGATTGGATCTATGTACCCTTGTAGATCACTAGGTGGAAGCGTTAAGAAACGCGGTAGATGTAATCAAACATCTTGGCAACCCAATCACGATCCGTCCCGCAAACTCCGATCCAAGTGCCGAACGGACGGCACCTCCGTGTTCAACACACATATGGCTTGGTGACGCCTTCACCTCCTCGATCCAGTAAGTGATGGTGAAGTAGTAGCTCGAGTCCCCTGGCAGCACGATGGCGTGGTGGTGGCGGAATCTTAGCAGAGCTTCGCTAAGCAGTACGGAGAGGAAGTTGAATGCGAGGGAGAGGACAGGCGACGCTGTGGCGTGGAGATGTGCTCAAGGGTGTGGCTGCCCTCTCTCTACCTCTCTATATATAGGGGAAGGGAGAAGGGGGTGGGGCCCCTAGGGTTTCCCTAGGGGCGGCGACGGACAGGGTAGATGGGACCTCCCCTAGGGTGACTTGCCCCCCAAGCCAAGTGGAGGGAACCCTAGAGGGGCGCCCCAACCCTCCTGGTTATGCGAGATGGGGTGAGGGGGTCACTCAGCCCCTTAGTGGGCTGGTTTGCCCGCTCCCCTTGGCCCATGGGGCCCACCAACACTTGTCAGGGCCCCCCGAAGCCCCTTTCGGTGATGTTGGTTACACCCGGTACCGCCGGAACAATTCCGGCTCCAATACCCTTCATCTAGTATATCAATCTTCACCTCCGGACCATTCCGGAGTTCCTTGTCATGTCCGATGTCTCATCTGGGACTCCGAGCAACCTTTGGTAACCACCATAATGACTAAACTTTACTTATATCGTCACCAAACGTTAAGTGTGTAAACCCTGTGGGTTCGAGAACTATGCAGACATGACCGAGACACCTCTACGGTCAATAACCAATAGCGGGACCTGGATGCCCATAATGGTTCCTACATATTCTATGAAGATATGATTGGTCGAACCTTGATGTCAAGGATTCAGCTAATCACGTATGTAGTTCCCTTTGTCTATCGGTATGTTACTTGCCCGAGATTCGATCGTCGGTATCTCCATACATAGTTCAATCTCGTTACCGTCAAGTCTCTTTACTCATTCCATAATACAAGATCCCGTGGCTAACTCATTAGTCACATTGCTTGCAAGCTCATTGTGATAATGTATTACCGAGTGGGCCCTGAGATACCTCTCCGTCATACGTAGTGACAACTCAACAGACACCCTTGGAGATACATGTAGAGCACATTTATAGTCACCCAGTTACGTTGCGATGTTTGGTAGACACAAGGTACTTCTCTAGTGTCAGTGAGTTGCATGATCTCATGGTCATAGGAACATATACTTGACATGTAGAAAACGATAGCAATAAACTTGACACGATCATATGCAACGTTCATAGTTTGGGTCTTGTCCATCACATCATTCTCCTAATGATGTGATCCCGTTATCAAATGACAACTCATGTCTATGACTAGGAAACCATAGCCATCTTTTATCAATGAGCTAGTCTAGTAGAGTCTCACTAGGGACATGTTGTTGTCTATGTACCCACACATGTACTTGAGTTTCCAATCAACACAATTATAGCATGGATAATAAACGATTATCATGAACAAGGAAATATGATAATAACCAATTTATTATTGCCTCTAGGGCATATTTCCAACAAGGCTGTTGAATCACGGGTTGGTTGGCCGGAGAGGTTGAGTTCTTCGCACACGCCCAGAATTTGAACCTTTCTTGTGTCTACGGGGCCCTGAATCCAACAAACTAGCAGTGCTCATCTCATACCTAAGTAGTTCACATATTTTAAGAATGTAGTACAAAATCTATATTCCTGGAGCATCATAGTACATGCAAAATAAACACGAGCGCCATACACGCAAGGAAAATATTAAAAACAAGATATAAGAACACCATGCAGTACACTTCAATAAAACAAAATAAGTGCATTCCTGAAGTAATAGAAGTTCAGACAATTATGGAATTATACAAAAATAAATAAAAATCACAAAGAAAAAATATCAGATCAAACGAAAATTACCATCTTGTAGTGACTCTCCACGTTTGTAGGCGTAATCTGATGGACGTAAGGACTTATGCAGCCAAGGCCACGGCGAAGCAGGGCGGAATAGAATGCAACAATGTTGTCCAGATCCAATCCCTCCGTGAAAACTCTGCCATATGAAAGCTGCTCCGCTTGCCCAGCTCGACACAAGACCCTACCCCGGCGAGCACGACGAGCCTGCAAGCAAGCTGAGCAATCGTAGTCCATCGGCACATGACAACCATGGCCGCAGCAGGAGAGATTTGCGTAGGGGCCTGGAGCCATCGCAACAAAACCCTAGAAAATGAAAAGAAATAAAGAGAGGTTGGAGGAAGGAGAGAAGTTGTGGCTAGAAGAGAAATGAGCTGCGAAGGAAGGTTAGAAGTTGGCCTATATATATAGAAGAGGAATGTAAAAGGTCTAGCCACGGAGAAAACAAAACTGAAAATTAAACAAGAGTTAATAAAACTTATGTTACCAAGAATAAAGGACAATCAATAGAGGCTTATGTTACCAAGAAAAAGAATGACCAAAAATGTGTACTTTTACTGTAGCTCCTCCCACCCACTAACCGCAACTCATTAATATTTATACTTCTAAAAAATTATAATCCGTGAACCATTCTAAACAAATGTGAATGCAGTTCACCATAGTAATATTAGGCAGTTCACAAGGTGTGCACATATAGTGAATGCAAACAAGAAGCGCAAGAGATGCACTTTCATGCAGTACACAACACATAGACTTAGTGCATGTAGTGCAGTCCAGAAGAACGCGCAATGCAGTCCGCAATGTTGATACAAGCAGTGCAAATGGTGCATATGAAAAAGGCAACTACATGCAGTTCAAAAAGAAAAAATAGCTTCCAATACGAAAAGGAAAAAATTGACCACCCAGGTGCAACCAGGCCCCAACCAGTCTCGTACTAAGTCTGCGCCCACAGTAGACGAGTCCCTTATGACCCACAATGCATGGGGCCAGACACACAAGGACCCACAGGTCAGCAGAATATAGTGCAGAGAGCGCCATGCATAAGCGCCCTATTAGTAACCAGAGGAGTTCGAGAGCGTTGCCTCGCTAGCGGTTATAAACCAGTCGGGCGCGCTCTCGGCGAGGTGGGACTAAACATTAGCGCGCACACACAGCGCACCGTGAACCAGCCATGCTGGCAGACCTTCCTGGGCCGAATGCATCTTCGCTCCCCAACACAGGCCCAACACGTGAGAGTGGTTAAAATACCACGACCCACTAAAATAAGCACAACAAAAAAGTGCAATCCCAGAACTACAGTTTGCTCTCATAAAAATAAAAAAATAAAAATAAAACAACAAGAAAAATGAAATAAATAAATAAATGAATAACCACAACAAAAAATGTGTGTGGACACTGCCAGAAACTGCAGTTCGCTCTCATAAATAAAATACAGGAAGCCCCAAGTCAACTATAAATGTAGTTCGCGGCCTACAACAATGCAGTTCGTCATATGGAAGCAGGAAATATCGTTACTTCTGAAATGTAGTTCCCTTTCTACTATATTGCAGTTTGGTTAAAATGAAGAATGCAACCTTGTTAGTTAAACAAAGGAGTCGATACACCTACCCACAAAACCCTCCACCTGCACAAAAGCTGCATCACCATCATTTATAAAATAAAATAAGAAAACACTCCATCAAAAAGTAATGCGCTTATATCTGTATGAATCTTGATCCCATCTAATACTGTATAAGAATAAAATCAGTTGGATGCAGTATAGTTTATGGACATAGGCAGTTCTATCATGATATACAAGAAGTGCACTTAGATAAAATTCACCAAAAGCACAAGCATCTCATTTTCTGACAGTTGCGTGCATATCTAAAGTTGTCACGAAAAAAGAGGCGATGTCGTTTCAGATTTCCAATGCACTAACACAGCCTCCACATCATAGAACCTCTATGGATTTGCCATGTAACTGAAACCACAAACCCACCACGCTACCACCCCCTCAATCACTCCCACGTCCTGTCACAGAGAGCAGAGAGAGCAGAGGAGAAATCACAACTTCTTTGTCCCCCAAAAACCCCATTGCTGCTTCTTCTCCCCACTTCCTTTCACTAACCTCTCTCTCCAAAACAAACGCGAGAGAGCAGAGGAGAGACATAGCAGATGCACCTCTATACAAGCAGCGCCGCAGGTACACCAGGGAGCTCCACGTCGTAGACCTCCATGGGAACCAAAAGCTCCACATCGTTTGCATAAGCAAGGGTACAGACGTGGACAAGATGCTGTCCACGCTCAGGAGGAAGCTCGGCAGAATGCTCGTCAAACTAGTCGGCATTGATGTCGAGTACATGCACTACATGAAGCCACAACGGGCAGCAGTGCTCCAACTATGCATAGAACAAGAGTGCCTTGTCTACCACATCTCTGCAGCTAAAGACATGTGACAATAATTGTGAATCTATACTATTGGTTGTCAATATTGATTTTAGTTTTTCTTCATCGCAAATGCCATTATATGAACTTGGGTTCTCATTTTTTAAAAGCATGGCATAGGAATTCATTGACAGTTTTTGGTTGGCTCCATGTAACTCATGTGTCCAATTCTTGAATTAGATGATCTAGGGATCACACCGTTTTATTTTGTTTTACCAAATACAAATTATCTGGCTGAACAATAGAAAACTGCACTATTACTGCCTACTTTAAATCTTGTATGCATTTGGAGGCAAAAGATCATAGTCCAATCTGTCTGAATCATGTATGAATTTCAATTCGAGACAACAAACATGCATTTCTTTCTGGAATCTATTATGAGATTTACTAGTTATGATGTACTAACTATTAGCAGCTACTCAATGCAATAGATTCAGGGATTCATATTGTAGTTCAGTCCGGAAAAACAAAAAAACCTTGGGTAGTCCTCAAAATAACTAGTACTGTCTCACTATATTCAGACTATACAAACATCTTGCAGGCCAATGGAACTGGAAAAATTCCTCATGAATGATGAATACACCTGCGCCGGATTCACCATTGAAGTAGACAAAAATAAGTTGAAGCTATCTGGCTTGGAGATCAACTCTGATAACTACATTGATATTCAAGTGGAATGGAGAGACCCATACAAGAAAAATAAATTTGACTCTTTAGCTGATGCTGCCGGCAGGCTGATCAACATTCACTACTATGACATGAAGAACAAAATCAACAGCGATGAGGACCATACTCTATGGGTGTTTTGCCCGCTACTAGACAAGCTTATCAAGTATGCAGCAATAGATGCATTAGCAACCTACGAGTCATGGAGAATCATCTATGATGTCATAATGGGGCTAGATAGGGCAAAAAGAGAAAAAGAAGCAAAGAACAAGGGTCAATGCATAGGGCGTCACAATGGGCTCTCCTCTCCTCTCCCTTCCTCCCTCCCGCTTTCTCCTACCTACTCCACCCAATCCCATGGCGGTCTCTGGTAAGAACCGAGAGTATGGAGGGCTTGCTACACTGGGATTTTGCCCCTAGCCTGGCTTTGGCAGATCAGGTGAGGAAGAAATTTGGCTCTACGGTTCACTTCTCCCCTTCTCGAGACACCAAAGAGTTCTTATTGGTGGTCTCTTTTTCATCAACCTCTTTCCCACTTTCGGTTGAATCTGTGGGCATAGCTCAGCAATGCTGCATTAGAGGAATTAGTGTGGGTTTCAAGGTTGTTCAAATCACTCCTCAGGTTTTTTTCTCTTTGGTGAATAAAAAGTTGTTCACTTCATCTATGGGCTTAAGGACCGTGTTTGGATGGATTTTATTTGCCATTTTCATTTGTTCAATGGTCGTTTAAACCGAAGCCACCTCACGAACCTCAGTTGGCATGCTGATGAAGAGCTACCCTTGATCGTAACCCGTAGTCCTATTCCCATTTCTCCGGGGTTTGGTACTCACAATCATGATGGTTCTTTGAGTCTTTCTTTAGTTCATGAGTTAAGCAAATTTTTACTGCTCCCTATCAAGCAGATGGAGTTCTCTAACAAGCATCATGCTGAAGTCTCTTTGTCCTCCACGGGTTATGTGAATCATTTTCAGACACACAATCATCTTCAGGCACAAAATCATTCTCAAGAACCAAAAATCAAATTTGGTTCATTTTCAAATGGCCTTGATGTGACAATGATAACTGCACCCCGGGAGGATAGACTATGTTTAATGGATATTTACCTCGCTCAGGCAAAGTTTGAGGACAATAAATTACCATCACTAGTCATTAACCCGTGCCTCTGCACAGGCTAACACTTTCTAATACTTGATATATTGAATTTTTTGTTCGATGCAAATATTTTGACAATAATAAGTTGTTTAAACACGACATGCAATATTTTTTTCATCACTTTTAAAATGTTCAAATGTCTCACTATGATATATATATACACATTATTCTCATGTCACTGCAAGAGATCTCAGAGTATAGTTATTGTAATAATGACTAAATCTGAAGGAATATAAGTAATCCGTGCATATTTTATTTAGTTATAACCTATAAGTTTCATAAATAAAATAACCTGTAGTAGGATATGTTGTCATTTTGACATGAAAGAATACAAAGTTTTAATTTCGGGTTTATTGATGAAAAAAGAACACATAAGAGAGCATTTAAAAAAGTTTTAAAATAAACCTACCCTTAAAATAGATTATTTTTATTTTCTTTAATATGAATATGTGGAATATATTTTTCGATATTGCATGAAGTAAAAACATTCAAAATATTATGGGCACAAAAATGATACTCCGAAAACATTATTTCTGATAAAACCACGACACTTATTTTTGGACGGAGGAAGTAACATTTTGGAGCACTGATATTTTTTAGACGTTCCGTAATGAAATTTTGCATGTAGTTACAAAAGCTAAGCAATGTTTGTTGTAAAAACAATTCAGAATATATTGAATTTGTTTCTATTTTTTCTAATTTTCCTTTCAAAAGAAGGAGCATTTGAGATTGATATATATTAGAAATACACTTTCGAGACTACTTCACTCGCTAAATAATGTGTATATATATTTCTCTATTTAATGTTTATTAGACCGAATATTCTACTTCGTGAGGTAGCATAGTTCACCTATGACTAGACATACAACTTTTGTTAAATTGTATCATGAAGAAAATTATGATAATTACTTAGAAAATATCTCAACCAAAATTTACACCAAACTGCGACTTTCAATATTAACTATCACTTTATAATAGAAATATTAGTTCCAAAAAACAGTATGGACTCTCGTCTTAAAGATGGAGTAACACATTTGAATTCCATACTATGTATGAATGTAAGAATTGGATATTCATAACTCTTCATGTAAATAATAAACTCAAGACAAAATAAGCACCATATATAAATCCATATTGTAGGACAACTTTTGAACCTTCCGATGAGTATAGCCAACTGCATCATGTGTCACTTCACATATGGAGTCTTCAGATGTAGCTGACGCAGCACATCCTATATGGATGCTGGCATGAAGCCGACGCCTAGTGACATATAGTATAAGGGTTCGTAGACACTCGTGACGCCCCAAAGCTTCACTTTTCATATCAAGATGTCGACTCATGATGGCTCCATAGACACCAAGCTAGTTTCTTTTGCAAGGTCGCAAGAAATAAATTAGATAGAGACACTACGCACGTACGTATTGATACTCAACTTGGAAGCTACACGAAATTCTATTTGTTAGATAGAGGCACCACACACGTACATATAGATACCCAGCTGGGAACCTATATGAAGCTCTGTTTTATTAGACTAACTCTATTTAATTTATGTTATCCAGCCAAACATGTAGCATTATGACTCTCTCTCTCTCTCAAAAATGGAGGACTCAATAGTCCACGTTGCAAGAGGCTCGTTCATTCACCTTTGTACGTACAAATTTAGTGTCACATATGTTTAATCGGAAGAATATTTTATCATACAGCCGGCTTTTGAGATGTTTTTTCTTTACTTTTGTTTTATTATTAATTAACGTTGGACAAGTCACATGCCTCTTTTAAGGGACGTCTGGATCATTTGTGTTACTTATGTTTTTCTTTTATCCTGAGCGTAAATTCTACAATCCAACGGTGTAATTAATTTTAATGTTGTGGATTAATGAGACGACTTGAAAGCTGCCTCCAATTAGTAAATATAAGATATCTCTCGTTGGGCTCATTTAAATGTCCCATTATGACTAATTATCCGACTTTGCCTCAAAGTTTCTTGGCCTCGGCTTTCAAATATGCTCCTCCTCATAGAAAGTGGCCTCCTATTCTATCGGCCCAGCACAAGGCAGACCTGGCCCAAGCCGACTATTCGGAGCAGGAAATCACTAATTTATCAGACCACTGGGCCAATTTATGCGCTCGCTGTCTCCAATGGGGGCACACTCATTTTTTCTTGCATGGCCAGGGTAATCTGCATTCACTCCTCATCCCCGGATCATAAGGAGATTAATTGCTCGCTACGAATGACTCAACACTCAAAATCCGGCATCAATTTTCTGCCACAAGGTAACAAAGTCAGTCAGCGTGATTACTTAGCTCCCCGTTTCCAAAAGGATCATGCTCGGACTGGGAAACGCACAACCGTCCGATGCAACTTCTGTGGAGCATATAACCACGTGGCACAATCCTTCTACCCCAAGAGCTGGAATGATACATGGAAGCGGGTCCCCAAGAAAATTCCTTCCAAAAGTGCCCCTAACGCTCCCAATTCCACCTTGAGCTTCCAATAGACGTCGCCTAGTACCAGCCTCACCCTCCTACCACCACCTTCGCTCCACACATCACCTCCATCGTCGTCGTCCACCTCGCCGCCATGGCAAACTACCCACTCATCCCAGTGCCCTTCCTCCCACCGTGCTTCGCCGTCGAGCCGGGGCCGGCAGATCGGTTGCTGTGCAGCGGCATGGTGTTTGGACTCATCCCTCCCGTGAACCATGACTTCTTGCGATTGCAGAGGCCAGTAGCTATGTTCCTCTCCATCACCGCACGGCCATCCACGGAACTATGCAATGTTTGCTCCATGAAGCTCAACTCTTTACTACAGAGGCTAGTGATCACCCATTTGGCATTGGGATTTTTGGATTTGCTGATTCCTTTCTTTGAGACACGGCGGTTGCAACTCCATTAGAACTTGAAGAGGAAGATTTGCTCTCTCCTTTGTCCCGCACAATGAGGCTCTCATAGGCGCACCACTACTTTCGGCAATGCAGTCTGCCTCATGTTTTTTTAATTTCCGTACGATTATCAAACCGATTACTACATCACAAAAGCATTGGCAGGTATTGATCTTTGATATCTTGGTACAACCCTAGACAGGATAGAAGGTTCATGTTGGTCAAAGAACAAGTTATACATCTCTGTCTAGTGCCGAAGAGCTTTGTGGTTTGGCAGCTTGGAGGGGCCAGGGATTGATGTACAGTCAAGGTTACTATTTTGTGCAACAATGATTGGAATTCTATGATGCCTGAAGTCCAGCCTGCCGGCGAGGAGCCGCCACCCCCTGATGGCAACCCACACCCTCAATTTGGTCTGGTTCTAATGACGAAGCAGCTCTATCAGTAGTAGGTTCATAATTGGCTTGTTCAGAATGCTGCACCTCCCAATGGTGCTCCTACAGCTCCTGGTAATGCTCCAAATCAGAACATGGCTGGGTGGGGCTCTTGGACAGAGCCTCCACCCCCAGTAGCTCAGCCTCAGATGATGCCGCCACACCTGATGAACTTTCAGGCTTGGCTTGCAGCTCAGGGACTTGTCGTGAAGGATGGAACTGCTCTAGAAGATAACATCACTGATAATGGTGCTGATGCCTGGAATGACTCTCTTACGGTTTCTGATTATACAAGCTTTGTGAACTCTGGTCAGGCTCTGATAATTGTGGACTCTGCTGTGGAACATTCCTCACCGCACAGCAACCTACAAGAGCAGCTCTCATTCATAGTAGATCTTCATAGCCAAGGCATATGATTTGTCCTCTCCACTAAAGGTAATTAGCTGTTATCCCTAGTTCTGTCAGATCCCATACCTTGCCAACAGCTCAACACCTCTATACACCATGCTCTTTGTCCTTACATGGCCAACATGGGCCTGTGGAGAAATGAGAATGGTGTAAGGTCTGAAAATGTGCGTGTGGAGATACAGGTTACAGCTGTTGGGTCGGGGCTTCAGTTCATGCAGGTATCACAGCTACAAGCACCATCTACCATTACAATTCAAGAGATCAACATGTCTGAAGATGCTGTTGGCATATCCCAAGAACTTGTACTCAACTCTAGGCTAGCTCTTATGGGATATTCGTCTGATATTCAGTCTCACAACATGGG